TATACATCGTGGAACCGTGCTGTACGCTGCTCTAGAATAATCGTGTGGGTGCGTGACTATGCTCGCGTGTTAATTGCGACTGCATTGGGCGTAATACGTGGAAGGAAATTTTGGCAAACCGAGATGCCAGGGCAATTAACCTCGGTGACGTCGACGAGTTCAACTTTTTCCCCTTTCTTTCTCCTCTGTGATAGCAAGTTTCGGTGAAAATTACACACCATGGAACAATTGTTCCTTATTACTTGGATCAATAACAATCGGAGAAACTGAAAATTGCGAGAGGAAGTCGTTAAAAGAGAGAGAGAGAGAGGGAGAGATCTGTTTGTACGAGCTAGTTGAACAGAGAGCAAGGAAGAAGAAGAACCGTTGAATGGTTCGCTGGGCTGTAAATAAGTTTATCGGTCGGAAAATGTCCGTGGGATTATAGAGTTTTCACAATAAAACCCGGAGGAATATCGCTAGGGAGCGCAATCAGGGTAGATTATCGTATGGTTAATTTGCAACACGTGCAAACCGTCCAGTGTTTACAAAGCGGACGATCTTAGATTAAGCGAACATGATTAATTATTCTAGCGCTCGCGGAATCAGCCGTTTGAAACAATACACCCTGACCCGATTAACTTGGCAAGATGGCTCGTGTATAGTAAACGTACAGTGACGTTCCTAGAACAATCGTGGTGTACGGCACCATTATCGTAGCTTTAACCTTTGAATTCGTGAACGGAAAATTCACGATCCTGCGTTTCACTTTGCAAAACGTGACTCAAGTTCTCCAACGAGATTTCACAGATCCTCCTGTGTGTGCAGGTGTATCGTTTTATAGTCAGACCCGTTGGATAACGTTCACAGTTTCTATCGATTCGTTCGATTTATTCTTCTTATGGATAATTTACTTGGCAGGTTGCATCGTCTGGGCCGATCGCTTTGCTCTCCGTCGTGCAATGCAATAAACAACGCAGAAGTTGCCTCTTTAAGGGGTAAAGCAAAGCGAGGTCAGCACTGTCGACGTTGAAACGAGGTAGTTAAGAGGATTTGCGATCGAGAATCTCGTTAGGAGAACGTTGAAAACCAACCGTGCGAATCCCAACGACAGCACTGTACCTTGCTGTATTATTCGAACGCTACCGGTGAAATCGTGTTTTCCATTGTTTACCAAATTAAATCCGGTTCCCCTAAAAAAACAAAAACAGTCGTCGAAGTTTGACCTGTTAAGTGAAAAATTTCAAACTCGTCCAGTTTAGAGGATTCAGAATACGAAACGACACCCTTTGACGTTCGCCATAAGGCCTGTGCTGCCTCGATTATCCCGAGTACGGATTAATCCTGGTGCAGATAGTCTCGTCAAATAGGTGACAGCCGGTTCTCGTTTGTCAGGGTGTGCTCTCATACGCGCGCGAGAGAAAGAAAATAGAAAAAAAGGGGGAGAACGAGAAGAGAAGTCTCCAAGTTACCTTTAGTCTCGGCGGCTCACGACGCGTTCGCTCTCATAGAATTCCTAATCCGCGCCGAGATCTAAACGGTTGCCAATCATTTCCGGTTCTCGGATTAGTCGCGCGCGAAAAGTCGGTTCCCTTGTAAGGGCGTGAAACTTGCCAGGCCCCCGAAGGACCTTCCGGCCCGACGCCGAAACGCCAACAATAAGTCCCGTGGAACGAATGTTGGCTTCGTAAGCGGATTACAAACGATTTGTACACGCGCCTGAAAAAGTGTCTCTATTTGGCGCGTCGCGAGCATTTCATTCCACTTCCGAGTGAAAAACACGGTTGAAACTGAGATCGAGACGAGTGGGAATTCGTAGGTCGAACTAAATGTAATCTTAAAAGCGACGTGTAAATTGTATTATTGGAGCATTCGAAGTGTCGGGGAAGAGATAAAAATAGAAAAGTGTCTGGGGGAGAAGAATGGTTTTTTTATTCGACGAATCGTCGTAGCGTTGAGTAACAGGAATCGTAGAGGCGTAGAAGCGCAGAAAAATCCACGATTGATCGTGGAAAATTGTCGAGCCCGTTGCCGTGCAAGCGTGTCCGACGGCAATTACATCAACATTACTCCTCCTAATTGGCTTTCATTAATTCTTTATTGGATTGAACGAGCAAGGTGGACAACACCGTACACACCGGCCGGCAATTACTCCCACGAGATTAGGTATACACACAGAACAAGTACTTACAAAGATAACCGTACGCGTCGACAACGACATGCCTTTTTCTAATATTAAACAGGAATTCTCTTTTAATATCTGCTTTATCGCGTCACTTGCAATAACAGCGAAGATGAAGAAAAGGAAAATGTGTAACGTGTTAGAATGGAGGAAAATAATTAGGCGGATGAAACGTTTTGTACGATAATCGCGTAATAACTATCGGAGAAAAAATAAAGAAAGTTGATCAAGGGTAGGAAAGATATGGAAAAAGAAAGGATGTTCAGTGTCGAAAGCGGTTGATAGATCGGGCGAGGATGGATCGTGTATAATCACCGGTTCAATCATCCGGAAAGCGTGTTCGCTAGCAATTACAACGGCGTTACTCCTTCTAATTGGCCTTCATTAATTCTTTAGTCGACGCCGGGGCGACGATTAGCCGACCGTGTGAGGTTAACCGCGACTGATAACGGTGTCGAGCGTTTATTCGGTCGAAAGAAAAGCGTCGACTGCGATATCGGGCAACGTCTATCGCCAATTGCACACTCCTTTCCCAGGGATATTTCAAGCTTTCGAATCGCATTCTACGATCTCACCTAGTCGCTCCGCTGTCCCTCTTATCGCGAAACCGTTTTCCTCGATGTCGGTGTCTCGCCAAAGATGACGATAATATCGATCAGCGTAACGACACTCTCGACATTTTCACACTAATCGCTGATCTTCTCTACCTAGAGTAGAGGGATGTTTATAAATAGGTAGACGAAGAACGCTACTCTGTTTCGTCCAATTTTCACCGATAGTCCCAAGTGAATTTCGTATTCAATTTTCCACGTTCGTTTTTCAAATCGTTTCACGGTTTGATACAGAAATGGATTACTCGTTTGTGAGTTAATAATCCAAGTAAATACACGCGTGCCAATTTCTCGCGATCTGGAGGTAACGTAATTTCGTCAGAAGACGGTCGAAGAGTAATTGTTCCACGACGGATAAAAGGTTCTTCCCGTTTTTGCAAAGAAAACGGTCTATTCGGTTCTCACAGTCAGAAGCAGTATTAGTGCTCGGAACCGTGTCTCTAATCACGTAGCCGTAGTCATGCGCGTAATTGTTCTTAATGTACTTTTTGTGGGAAATAAGCCGATTACGATGTAAGCGTATGAACTTAGCCTCGAAGGAAAGTACCGTGGAGCCGTCGATCGACGGCCAACGTATAAAACGGGAATGAACAACTAGCTGGCGCAGGAGGGAGGTGGGTAAGGTAGGCTGGTAGGGAGGTGCAGAGGGGAAGGGAAGAAAAAAACGTGGGTTGTAAATTGACGGAAATCGTCTCGAGATGATTGGTATTAGCCTGTGTGCACTCTCGATGCCTCTGTCAATGCGACTTCGTGCCTCTCTGGAAACTGATAAATGCCTGTAATTACCGTTCTTTTTCTTTCTTTCTCTTTTTCTTCGGTTTTTTCTTTTTGTTTCTCTCTCTCTCTTCACCACCGATAATCGTAACCCGATTGAACATCACCGCCTGCAACGAAAGATTCTTACGTGATAGGGAAGTCCCGCTCGATGTTTGGATAAACACGGGGGGCATATATACAACGTGCTCTCGTGATTTCGAGGAGTCACGGGTCGGTGAATTGGTGAAAAATAAAGAAGGAAAGAGAAAAAAAGGGAAAAAATCTATAAACGAGAACGAGGCGAAATAATGGACGGAAGTGTCGAAATGGTGAGCTTCGACCTGGTAATGATTATTCGGGATTCCATTAACCCGACGAAATCACGGGACCCCTCTAATTAGGGGACAGGCAGCCGAGAGAGAAAAAAGCGGCAGAATCATTGGATCGTTAAAAAGCGCGTGGTTCTGTGAAATTTCGTAAGGTTGTATCGATCATGGGGTATTACTGGGATGTTTGAGTACCTATCCCGAAGGGTCAATAACCGTGGAGGATTTCTCGTTGGTCGATTAAAGGAGAAGATCACGGTAAACTGTTCTCTCGCGACAGGTAACAGGTCAGAAATGATGAATGAAGGAAGCAACAACGTTAGTCATTTTATTTCTAAATCCATCTGATAATTTAACACGCGAGAATTTATCCCCTGAATATCCTCTGTACGTATGCACACCTGTATACTTGGGATTGGTTTTATAGAAAATGGAGATTCTGAAACACCGAGAAACGAAATCGGTAAATTCACTTGGCACTGGCTAAGAGGCCCCCAGGGGGCTAAACGGCGGAAGACGGCTCCGCTAGATAGGCGAAGTTGAATGAAACAAATGAGGGTAACATAATT